TTATTGTTCGAGCCACATAACAATGCACGCTCATAAAACCTCCTGGAAGCTATGCTTGTCCCAACATCTTCTTTCCTCCACCCTGTAATCCTCTTATCACTGCAATTTTCCATCTCAAGAGGCTTAACTCTGCCGTAATGATGACTTGGATCAAGACATAATTAACCGTACTACGTGTCTGCCTTAAAGAAAAATTCTGCTCTGTTAGCAGATTAAACCCACTCTGACTGGAGGAAAAAAAAAATCCTGCATAATTGAATTAAGTCCAGTTTGTAAAATTTGTGAAAGACGAGCTGAGACTCAACAACTGCAGCTGTAGTTGTGAAGTAAATCTGGTATAGACTGTAATACAGCACCTTCTTACATTTTCTCTGGGCTTCTAAAGAGTCTTGGTTGACACAAAGCATCTTGTTTACATTAAGATTTGAGGCAACATGAGTTTAACAGCAATACTGGGAAAAAAATCAGTAATAAAAGTCTGTTATTCATCTGGCTTCTTTTTCTTCAACCAATGTTTCTTCTGCAAAACCAGAAGCATGCATTTTATGACATGGAATAATATAAGCTTATACCAATGATGGACCACAGGGTTTTGAACTCATTTTGTGTAAATCTAATTCTTTCTTTTACAACGCAGTTTGGTTTTGGGCCTCTTGTTTAGTTGATTTAGCATTTGTTTCACCTCTGTTAGCTTTAGTTCCTGTTTTATTTTGATACATCCTGATCTCTCGTTCACTTTTATTTTGTCATACCTGGTTTATGTTTTCTCTGTGAAAGTGTGTTTTTTTTTTTCCCGGGTACTCCGGTTTCCTCCCACAGGCCAAAAACTTGCATGTTTGGCTGATTGGTAACTCTAAATTGTTCCTAGGTGTGAGTGAGAGAGTGAATGGTTGTTTGTCTCATTTGTCTCTATGTGGCCCTGTGATGGACGGTCCAGGGTGTCCCCCGCCTCTCACACAGTGAACGCTGGATATGGACATCTGCGATCCAGAAATGAAGAATCAACTAAAGTTGGATGGATGGATGGTTGGATGGATGGATGGATGGGTGGATGGATGGACTAAAAGAAAAGTTCCATAAACAGTTTTTAGTCTTGATTAAAAAAAAATATATAGAAAAACGTCTTATAGTCTTCATGTACTTTCAACTTGTGTAATTTTCATTCCTAACAGCCTTATGTTTCAGTATTTTAAAGTGACCCTGTTCAGCTTACATATATTGGCATGGCACATAAGATGTTAAGAGCAGCACAGCAGTGCAGTTGTTAGGGTTGTCACATCATAACAAGAAGCTTGTAGTTTCCATGTTCTCCCCGAGGACGTGTAGGTAGGTTTCATCCCACAGATCAAAAACCTGTATATAACTTTAAATTGTCCCTATGGTGTGTGAGAGAGAGAGAGAGTGAATGGTGGTTCGTCTCATTTGTCTCTTGTGTCCCTGTGATGGACTGGAGACCTGTCCATGGTGTCCCCTGCCTCTAGCACAGTGAGTTGGGAATAGGCACCAGCTGCCATGCAACCCAGAAAGAAAAAGTGAGTAAAGAGAATGTATGTATGTATGTATGAATGTATGTATGTATGCATGCATGCCCTCATCAAGTTCTATGCACGCTTTGAAGACCCGAACAGACCACCCAGCACCAGATTCACCTCACCACCAGATGAAGAGCATCTCAGCATGACCTCAGCAGAAGTAAGGAGTACTTTCAGGAGGATTAATCCACACAAGGCAACCGGCCCAGACAACATGAAAAGTGTTGAAAGAATGTGCCGATCAGCTCTGCGAGGTGCTGGCAGACATCTTTAACACCTCACTTACCCTTGAGACAGTTCCCACATGCCTGAAGACTGCCACCATCATCCTAGTTCCAAAGAGCTCTACAGTGACTGGTCTGAATGATCGGCCAGTGGCCCTCATCCCGATAGTCGCTAAATGCTTCGAAAAACTGGTCATGACTCACATCAAAACAACCATCAACATCAACGAGGACCCTCACCAGTACGCATACCGTGAGAACTGATCAACAGAGGATGCCATCTCCTCTGTGGTCCACACTGTGCTCAACCACCTGGAGCAGAAAAACGCTTACGTCCGTATGCTCTTTGTGGACTTGAAATCTGCATTCAACACCATGATCCCCCAAACCCTGATGGACAAACTACTCACACTAGGACTAAGCCCCTCCATTTGCAACTGGGTACTAGACTTCTTAACAAACAAACCACAGTTAGTGAGGATCCACAACTTCTCCTCCTCCATCCTAACCCTGAGCACTGGCTCTCCTCAGGGATGTGTGTTGAGGCTCCTCCTGTTTACTCTGCTCACGTATGATTGTGCAGCTACCCATCCAGGCTGTCACACTGTAAAGTTTGCAGATGATACAGCGGTGGTGGGATGCATCACAAACAATGATGAGTCCAGCTACAGGCAAGAGGTGGAACACCTGGAAAGCTTGTGCAAAAAGAATAACCTTCACATCAATGTGAAGAAGACAAAGGAGATGATTGTGGACTTCAGAAGGAACAAACACACCTACACCCCCCTGAACATAAGAGGATCTGTGGTGGAAGTGGTCTCCAGCTACAAGTACTTGGGTGTACACATGAATGACAACCTCACCTGGAGCAACAACACCACCAGCCTGATCAAGAAAGCTCATCAGAGACTCTACTGAGACGAGCTGGACTGGGAAGCTCCGTCCTCACCTCCTTCTACAGGTGTGCAGTGGAGAGCATCCTGTGCTCCAGCATCAACATGTGGCATGGAGTCTGCACAGCTGCAGAAAGAAAAGCTTTGAAGAGAGTGGTTAAGGCTGCACAGAAATCTGTCGGAATCAGCCTCCCCACCATCACAGACATCTACACCTCCAGATGCAGGAAGAGGGCCACCTGCATCATGAAGGACCTCACTCACCCAGCACCCACACTTTTTGCCCCACTCCCCTCAGGAAGGAGGTTAAGGAGCATTAAGTGTAGAACCACTAGACTGAGGAACAGCTTCTACCCTGAGGCTGTTAGACTCATGAATCTCTAACCAGAATAATCACTGTGAAAAAACCACATCATGTTGCTGCTGATCTGTTTCATGTTGCTGCTGATCTGTTTCATGTTGCTGCTGATCTGTTTCAATGTTGATGTGTTCATGCGTGCACATCTGCTTACACACTCATGTTCATGTTTGTGATGATGTTCAACGTATTTTTTATTTGTTTTAATGCTATTAGTGCTAAATGTATATTTAGTTGATGTTTTTCTTAGTTCATATCTTAGATGTTATCATTGTTTTTCTTTTACATTTTATTGTTGGATGTAACTTTGACCCTGTGTTCATAGTTTCGCTTCACCACATGTACCACATGATGTGCGAATGACAATAAAGACTCTGACTCTGACACTCTGACTCCGATGTACGCATGTATGTATGTATGTATGTATGTATGTATGTATGTATGTATGTATG